AACATGCTGCCAGCTGGATAAGCTGAGCCAGGGCCTTTGTGTAAACAGGTCCCTCCTCATAAAAAATGAATACACAAGAATAATGGCCGCTTCCCACATAATAGTCAGAATGAGATTTGAAGATTAATGTGACTGAGTTGTCCCTTGTTATGGCTTCGCATTCCTTCCCATTTCAAGGCCTCCCACTCCTGTTGACTCATTTCCATCAGACAGCAGTGGCCTAGTGAGGGGCCACAGTGATCCAACCAGCACAGCAAAGAGTCCCCCACCCTCTCTGCAGATTACAAAACAAAACACATCAAGTCCAGAGCCCAAGGCCAGAAGCACAGGGAGGGGTGTCCCTAAGCCAAGGCCAAGGGAAGTCAGTTGGACAGGGTGTGCAGGGAGCCCTGCCTGCCATCATCTGATTTGATGGCAGCTCTCCCTGTCACTCTAAGTTACCTTGAAAACAGGTGGGTGAGACATGGGCAGTTCTCAGAAGTTTGGGGCTGTTCCTGTGCTGGGGAGGGGCTAATGCTAGCAGGTCATAAATGCAAGCAGTTCATCAAAAGGTTGGTGAATCTTGAGGCTTAGGAGGATTGAAGATACATATTATTGCCTGCTGCCTGACAGCTGAGGGCATTTCCACAAACCTGAATATCTACATATGACCTGCTGATGGTCAATCAGCTGAACAGCTGAAGGCAGTTCTCCCAACCTGATAATCCTACTTTTTACCAAACTTTACCTTTGATATGTATATCTGATTTGCTATAGGCCAAAATGTGTGAATAAAAAACCGTGGCTATGAAGATTTAGGAAGAACTTGGTTACTATAGCTAAGTCTCCTCTGGCTCCCCAGAATGTCTTCCAAATTTATGTTTCATGTCTAGTCTCTTTATTAATTTACCGCAGCCCCTTCTCCAGATTCCCAAACCCTTCCAGATGCAGGAGAACAATCATAACCATCCTGGGAGATCTAGCCCAGTTACTGCACTGCTACTTCCAGGCTTTCTCAAAGCTCTTGTCCTCAAAATCTTTGTTTCTTTACCTACAAGAACATCTGTCCCACACCCTGGGTTTTGTAAGGGGGTGGGGGCAAAGGAGCAAAAAGAGTGTCCACAGAAATCAGTTTAAAAATTCTAGTGAAACTCCTTCCTCCAAAGTCCTATTGGTTGGAGTTCTCTCCCAGACGCTGCCTGGGGAAGCCTGGAGGAAGCCAAAAGAGGCCCAGGAACACTCCACCTGGCTCCTCCCCACCTTCTGTGGGAACAGGTGTCTCCACAGAGGCCTTCCCACCCCCCTCTAAACAGATCCCTCCCTGCCCTTCTGTCTTCACTATCGGATTCTCCAGGACTCCAGCACAGGACTAAGACATTTATAATGATTCATTGTGATAGGTTTAATGTTTATTGTCAGTCTTTCCAGAGAGAGAGAGAGAGAGAGAGAGAGAGAGAGAGAGAGAGAGAGAGAGAGGAAACATAGATGTGTGAAAGACACATTGCTTGGTTGCTTTCCCCATGTGCGATCAAACCTGCAGCCCAGGTATGTGCCCTTCACTGGGAAGCAAACCCACGACCCTTTGATGCATGGCTAATCCTCTAACCCTTTAGCCACACAGGCCATAGTGGAGTAACAGTGGTTTTTATTTTATATATAGTGCTGCTTATTCAATAGCATTTAAAATTGAAGTGTAGGAAATTCTCAACTTCAGTAATCATGGGGGAAATGCAAATCAGAGCCACAAAATATCACCTCCTACTGTTAGAATGGCTATTATAAAAAAGACAAAAGGTAGCAAGTACTGGTGAGGATGTGGAGAAAGGAAACCCTGTGCACTGTTGGTAGGATTGTAAATTGGTGCAGCCACTATGGAAAACAGTATGAAAGTTCCTAAAGCACTTAAAAATAGAACTAGCATATTAACCAGCAATTTCACTTCTGGGTACTTGAAGAAATTGAAAACACTAATTCAAAAAGATATGTATCCCTATGTTTATTGCAACATTATTTAAAATAGCACAGATATGTAAACAACCTAAGTGCCCATTGATAGACAATTGGATAAAGAAGATGTGGTACATATATACAGTAGAATATTCAATCATAAAAAATGAAATCCTGACATTTGCAACAACATAGATGCTCTCCGAGGACCTAATGCTAAGTGAACTAAATTGGACAGAGAGAGACAAATACCATATGATATCCCTTATCTTATCTAATAAAAGAGTAATATGCAAATTGGCCATGCCCACCAGCCACACCCACCAGCCAATCAAAGTATGCAAATTAAACCCAATCAAGATGACTACGGCCACAGAGAGCAAGAGGGAGGCTTGGGTTTCCCAGGCAACCCTGCCCTAGCCAGCCTACGCCTCCACTCAAGGCTGTAAAGTTTCAGTTATAGAAGGTAAACAATCCAAAAAGAAATGGTGGCAGCCATGGAGCAAGCAAAAGGCCTGGCTCCTCTCCAGGCTACAAAGTTTCAATGGTAGAAGGTAAATAAATTCCAGATACCAGGGCCTCTGCTTGGGTCACAGGGGTGGGGGAGAGGGGCCGTGGCTGGCCTGCAAACCACCATAGGCCCCACACCTAGGCCCCCAGACCCCAAAGGAATCACCACCCTGATCTGGGACATCCTTCAGGGCAAACCAGCCAGCCCCTACTCGTGCACCAGGCCTCTATCCTATCTAATAAAATTGTAATATGCAGATTGAGCATCACTCCAACACACAAGATAATTACCTCCATGTGGACACAAGATGGCCACCACAAGATGGCCAGCAGGGAAGAGCAGTTGGGAGGGACCAGGCCTGCAAGAGAGGGCAGTTGTGGGTGATCAGGCAAGCAAGGGACGGCAGTTGGAAGGCACCAGGCCGCAAGGGAGGGCAGCTGGGGGTGATCAACCCTGCAGGGAAGAGAAGTTAGGGGTGACCAGGTTGGCAGAGGAGGGAAATTGGGGGCAAACAGGCTGGCAAGGGAGCAGTTAGACATCAATCAGGCTGACATGGAAGTGGTTAGGGGGTGATCAAGCTGGTTGGCAGAAGCAGTTAGGGGCAATCAGGAAAGCAGGCAGGCAAGCAGTTGGGAGCCAGCAGTCCTGGATTGAGGCTGACGACACAGTCCAGTGCCTGTCAGAGGTGAGAGCCGGCCTCGAGGGTCTCCACACACACAACCCCAAGAGGACCTGGCAGTGCCTAGACACACACTCATTTCTGCGGACTCCCCAGGGACCCTCCAAGGACTCTCCCTAGTCTCTCCCACAGCCCCATGACAAAGGAATCCAGACCCCCACTCCTCCCTCCATCTACATGGGAGGGTAGAAAGACACTCCTCACATATTTGTAGAAATACAAGAGAGAAAGAGAGTTGTGGTTTGACTTCACAGTAGACTCCATCAACACGTGGGAATTTCACTGATGTTGTTGTTTAAACTACCCCTGCCACTCAGTCCACAGTCCTTGCAGAACTTGGCCAATAGCAAATATCCTTTTCCCAGCGATGCATCCCTTCAGTGCTGTTGGACATGAGCCTGATTCAGTTTGCCTGCCATATCAGCACTGCTGCCCAGAGCACTGAAGTGTGTTGGAATGGGCTGTGTTAGGCTGATCGGGCTGCCTTAACATAGGACCACTCTGGGTGGTGTCAGAAGCAGACATTCATTTTCTCACTATTCCGGAGGCTCGGAGTGAGACAGGAGGCTGTCAGCAGGGCTGGTTTCTCCTGAGGGGGTCTCGCCTCAGCTTGTAGATGGCCATCTTCTCCCTGTGTGTCACATGGACCCCCCTCTGCACTGCCATGTGTCCTCCCCTCCTCTTCCCAGGACACTGGTCACACTAGATTAAGACCCACAGCACTGAGTTCACTTCACCTGAATTGCATGCTTGAGGACGAACACTCAAATGCGGCCACATAGTGAAGTTCTAGGGGCTGAAAATTCATGGAATTAGAGGACCCAGTTCAGACCACAGTACATGTAGGATCCGCAGCTGAAGATGGACAACTACTGCTGGAAGAAGGAAGTGCACATGTAAACATTTAATGGCTGCAGGCAGATTACAACTCTAAAGGGCTGGAGCAGGGACATAGCCAAAAGCAGTTTCTGATGATTGCCCCTGCCTTGCTCCCAGACTGGCCCGGAGATTTCTCACTCATTGAAATTTTCACCTGTCCTGTCCGATGCCAGGTTGTCCAACTCTATCACAGTGTTCCTTCATTAGCAATTGCCTCATGGGTACTTTGAGTCACCTGTCCCTTGTCAGCCACCACATAGATTTGCTCCTTCACGAGTCTTCTGTTCAGATTACTGCCTGGTGATCACCTTTCTCAAGTCTACAGTCTTCAAGCATTTGCCACCTTGCAGAATCTGGGATCTCCACAATGAAGGTCTCAAAATGCCCTTTAGTGTAAACGGATGAAACATAACTTTCTCCTTTGAAGTCAGTGGTTTTCATAGGCCCTGTCTATCGTGTACACTGTTCCCATGCTGGGGAGGGACAAGGCTCCCACACACTTTCCACCCAAGTCAGGAACAGATAAGTGTCCATTACCTGAGAGGGAATGTCATGTAGGACAGGTCCCAGTTCTGACCTGCATGCCCTTCACCAGACATTGAATATCCCTAAGCCTCTGTGTTCTTATGTCTATAAGGGGAGGTTTCTAGAGGACTCACAGAGCCCATGCTCTTCATATAGACTATACCTACAGGAAGGTTTGCTGTTCCTTAGCTAAAAAAAGAAAAAAAAAAAAAAAAAAAAAGGAGGGGGAAGATGCCTAGAAGGTGACATTTGTATGAACATGCACAGAATTTAAGTGACACTTTGAAGACCTAGAACGTCCTTCAGCCTGGGCGCTCCTGTCCCTGCTCTTGCACACGTCCCTGTGGGGCTGGAGCCTCCCGAATGAGCTCCAGACCTCAATCCTTGTGGGATTCTCGGTCATGCCACTGACTCGATGTCCTCACTTGTCCCACCCAGGGCGCAGCTGAGGTAACTGTTAACCTACCTGAGTCCTGCAGGATGCAGGACCTCCGTGAAGGCACCTTAGAGCAAGTGCTCACATCCATGGTACCAGCTCTCCCGGGGGCAAACATCCCCCAGGTCTCCACCCTGGCCTTCTACAGAGCCCAACAGTTCCTGGAGGAGCTGTTAGCTAGGTGAGCACACACTCGTGACTCTGCCCACTACAAGCTGTGCGTCTTGAAATTGTCACCACTTCTTTCTGAGTCTCAGTATGCTCCTCTGAAAGGTGGGGTGGTGAGGGATAAACCTCATAGCACTGCTGTGGAGAAAAGTCCTACCTGCTCCCTGGCTCTTCAGACAGGGTTGCTGGCTGTGTGCTGGTCGTTTGTAGCAATGATTTCACTCTGTCCCTTGGAAAGAACTCTGACTCACCCAGCGGTAGCCTGTGGCATCACAGTTTGGAAAAACACAGAAAGCAGCCTGTCAGGCAGTTGGAGATCTCACCTAGCTGGTCCTAGGCCTTGGTGTAGCCACGTGGGGGATCGGGCCGGTAGCAGGGACCCCAAGCCCACTCAGGTGGATGGCATGGTGCTGGTTGGAGTTTATTTACTCAACAATGTGTATGAAGCTCCTACTGCAGGCAAGCAGGTTTGGAGACGCTTAGCCCGACTCAAGGAATGAAGCAGACACAACCTCTGGGCCTCAGTTCTAGGCAGTGGGTCCCGCAGTCACGCTGTCCATCGTTCACAGGTCCTGTCCACCGTCCATCAGAGCTGACGCCGTCAAGGTGCTTTCGACATCTGCAGGCACACCTCCTCATAAGGACCAGGGTGACACACCGCAGGACCAAGTCATAAAGTGAGTGGTCTCTGCGTCCAGAAGGAGGCCCCCCTGTGTCAGCAGAGTGGGGACTGTGAGTTGGGGGAATTGCCTGGCAGAACCCTGATCTTATACACCTTCTGATTCCCATGAAAGGCCTGAACTCTGCTGGCTTCTATTCCAGAAGGACATGAGTCAAAGAGGACAGAGGATGGGGTCCCTGGTCTTGTAGACCCAGAGAGGACGCTGGGCTGAGTTGTGCCTCAGAGTCTCCTTCCCCACAAGACCCATAGTCCTCTGCCTGCCCCTCTCTCCATCCACCTCCACTGACCACCGTGGACGGCTCAGAACAGGATGGTGGTGAGCAGGCAGCTCAGGAGTCTGTCTCAGTCCTCAGCCCAGATGCCCATGGGCATGGAGGGCTGGGGTGGGCAGTGTACAGGACACTCAGGAGAGCTGCCAGTGGGAAGAAGAGTCTCACACAGACTCCACGTTAAGCCTGCTGGATCCCACACCTGCTACAAAGAGAACAGCCACCTAGGGGCTGGGTATGGCGTGTGGCTGTGCCCTGGATATGAGGGAGACTGCACAGGGGCTCAGTCCCAAACAAGAGTGCCATGGGAGGGTAGAGTAGAAGGAAAGACCAGAACTCTGACTTGACTGCCCACCTGCCTCTCCCCAGGGCCATGGCTTCGATGGTTCGGACCTGGCTGAACCTGGTCCAGAGTTTTGGGCAGCCCCTTCCTTTTGCCTTGTTGGAGGTAGAGCAGGCCTTGGTGCCCATCAAGTCCCCAGCATCACACCTGTTGGGCCAAATCCAAAATCTAGAGCTGGAGCATCTTGAGCCCACAGAGGCAACTCACCAAGGTGAGGGGGACTGATAACCTGGACACATAACCTGGGGAGGACAGGCTCATGGGCTGGAGTTCCCTTAAAGGCACTGGCATCTTTCCTGTCAGTGGAATGTCATGGGAAAGCCAGGTGTCTGAGAAAATCTCTGTCTCTCTCTCTGTCTCTCTCTCTCTCTCTCTCTCTCTCTCTCTGTCTCTCTGTCTCTCTCTCTCTCTCTCTCTCTCTCTCTGTTTCTCACCCTCCCTCTCTCTTCTGCTCCAGGTCCACACACAGAGATCCGGATCTCTCTAGAGCCAGAGGAAGGGCCTGCTCAGGGGCCAGAGTCTGGTCCAGCCATTCGCTCCACCCTGGCATGGCCTGGCCTGAGGCACTACCTGAGGCCATTATGGAGCCAGCTGCTGGAAGCCTTCTCTGCTGCTGTCATGACAGTTCTAGGCGATTATCTTTAATAACTAAGAGGAATACACCCCACTGTATATTTATACTAGTAAATAATAATAATGTCCAATAGAACCTAGCTATTTATGTAGACTGTAATGCATTATATTAAGTACTTTTTTGAATAAATAGAAATAAAGTTGTTGATTGAAAACATGTGTTGACTTGATATATTCATGTACATATACATAATATATATGTACATACACACATGTATGCACACATATATATGTACACATATGTCCGCATGGAAGGATGCTCACTGCATCAAACAGTTTTAAAATAATGCTTGAAACATTTAATTTTTTCTGGTAAGTATAAACTGATAAAATGGAGAAATGAAATGAAATCTGGAAATGTATGCATCAAAATGTGAACACTAGTGAACTGGAGGAATTGAAACTACTAGAAGTGATAGTATCTTCTCCTTTTCTTATGTATAGTTTCTGGTTTTACACTATGATCATATATCCAATATATAAATATAGAGAAGAGAGAGGAAAGGAGAGGCAGAGAAACATCCATGAAAGGTGGGTCAGCTGCCTCCTGCCCACCCCTGAAAGGAACTGACTGCAAAACCTTGCCAAGTGCCCCCCTTCTGGGAACTGACCCGGAAACCTTTCAGTGCAAGGGGAGATGCCCACCCAAATGAGCCCCATCAGCCGGTCTTAGGCTAAATGTATATTTTAAAACTATACTTATATTGATTTCAGGGAGAGCGAAGGAGAGATCAAAAAAATGCTGAGAGTGAATCATTCCTCGGCTGCCTCCTTCACGACACCCAATGATGATCCAGTCTGCAACCCAGGCATGTGCCCTGACCTGGAATCAAACCAACTGTGAACGCCTGCCTGGTTCACAGGGGGACCCTCAACCACTGTGCAACACTGGCCAGACTTAATAATATCTTTCCAAACTTTCCTATGTGCCAATTTATATCTTCAAATGCTCTCATGAAGAGCAAAAATTGCTTACTGGGCTGCATTCCACTTCACTCAGTCTTTAGCTTGAGTTGCCATTTGAGCAGCAACAACCACTAGGATAACTGTTAACAATATTGCAAACCACTGGGGATGGAAAGAGCATTGCTTAGGTTGCAACAGGAGTAATTCAAAACAACTCTCTCCACTCAACACTTGGTTAAACATTTTCCTTCCCCAATGAGCCCCGAATTTTACTCACCAGTCAAACTCCTCTCCGCAAGAGGCAATGGTTCCACCAGCTCAGGACGGTACGGAAACAGGGTACACAGCCCTGGTTCTACCTGAAGGGCCATGCTTCACTGTCACCACTGGAACAATCTATAATTAAAATTAAAACCATTATGTCAAAAACTTCTAAGCCGAAAAGGAAAAAGGAGTAGTGGGTGAGTATTTCCAAAGGAGGCATGCTGTGCAAGCGGAATTCACGCAGTGCCGTGGCCCAATCATCCAAAGCTCATCATTCTTACTTGAACACTCTTGCTCTGAGGGGAGACATATTTCCTTTCTTTCAGTTCATACTTGCTTTCAAGGGAAACCGGCTGGTCTATACACAAAGCCAACACTCCCCCTTGGGTATCCAACTAGTGAAACCTAAATGTCTATGTTAATTTTAACGTTGACTTAATTTGAATTAATCAAAGTTTAAACTTAGAACGTTATATTGTTGGCCATGCTGCTGTGGCTCAATGGTTGCATGTCAAACCCTAAACCTTGAAGTCTGAGATTCATTCCCAGTCAGGGCACATGCCTGGGTTGCTGTCTGGGGGCTATGTGATCGATCAATGAGGCTCTCTCATCATTGGTGTTACTCTCTCCCCCCACCCTCCTCTCTTTCCCTTCTGTTTCCCTTCCTCCCTCTGACATCAATAAACACATAGATTTTTTAAAAAGTTACATATGTTTAATATGGGCCCTATTAGATAGAGTACTTCAAGATACAAGGAAACAGATTTTAAAACAGTCATCCCTGAATCTCCGGGACACCTTTCCTCCACCTATCCACAAAGAAGAAATTTATGGGAAGTTAAATGACCCAATTAAAAAATGGGCAATGGATCTAAATAGAATCTTCTCTAAAGAAGACAGAAGGAAGGCCAAGAGGCAGGTGAAAACATGCTCAAAGTCACTAATTATCCTAGAGATGCAAATCAAAGCAACAATACGGTACCATCTCATACCTATCATAATTGCCAACATCAACAAATCAACAAATGACAAATGTTTGTGAGGTTGTGGAGAAAAAGGAACTCTCATGCACTGCTAGTGAGAATTTAGACTTGTGCAACCACTGTGGAGTACAGTATGGAGCTTCCTCAAAAAACTGAAAATGGAACTCCCATTTGACCCAGTAATCTCACTCATAGGAATATATCCCAAGATACTAGAAACACCAATCAGAAAGGATATATGCACCCCTATGTTCATAGCAGCACAATTTACAATAGCTAGGATTTGGAAACAGCCTAGGTGCCCATCAGCAGATAATTGGATCCAAAAACTATGGTACATCTACACAATGGAATATTATGCTGCCATAAAAAGAAGAAATTCTCATCATTTGCAGCAACCTAGATGGAATTGGAGAACATCATGCTGAGTGACATAAGCCAGTCAATGAAAGAGAAACACCACATGAGCTCATTCATTTATGGATAATAAAGAACATTATAAACTGATGAACCAATAGATAGATATAGAGACAGTGAAGCAACAAGCAGACTGTCAAATTAAAGCGGGGAGGGTAGGGAGATCTGGGGGAGATAGATCAACCGAAGAACTTGTATACATGCATATAAGTACAACCAATGGACACAAAACCCTGGGGAGGGAGAGCATCTATGGGGGGGGCAATGGTATATGTACACAGATAAAAAATTTAATTTTAAAAAAGTAAAATAAAATAAAAAGAGCACAATATTCAAACATCAAAAAACAAAAAACAAAAACAATGCCTAGAATGTAACAATTTTATGAACACCCCCACCCACCAAACTTAAGTGTAACTTTGAAAACCTAGAAACTCCTTCAGCCTGGGCCCTCCAGTCCCTCCTCTTGCACACATTCCTGAGGGACTGGGGCTCCTGTGTGAGCTCCAGGCCTCCATCCACCTGGGATTCTTGGTGATGCCACTGACTAGATATCCCACCTTGTCCCACACAGTGTGCTGCTGAGTTAAGTCTGAGACTTCATGAGGCCTGCAAAATGTGGGCCCTCCAAAAAGGCACCTCAGAGAAGGTGATGGGGTCCCTGGTCCCAGCTTTCCTGGCTGGAAACATCCCCCACGTCTGCACCCCGATGCCCATCCACCCGGCCTTCTCCAGAGCCCAGTGGTTCCTGGAAGAGCTGTTAACTAGGTGAGCACAGGTCCCCTCTTCGATGCAGTGGAGACTCTGCCCACTGCTAGCTGTGTGTCTTAACAATGTCATCACATCAGTCTGAGTCTCAGAATGCCCCTCTGGAAAGTGTGGTGGTACAGGATCAACATCATAGGGCTCTTGTAGGCACTGCTGTAGTGACAAGCCATGACCGGCTTACCTGCTGCCTGACTCAGCAGAAAGGGCTGCTGGACCAGCTGTGGTGTTCATTCCACTTATGTCTCTCTGTCCCATGGAAAGTCCCCTGACAAACTCCCCCCACCCCCTGCCCTCCACCACCCCATCAGCAGCCTGTGGCATCTGGGTTTGGAAAAGCACATGGAAAGCAACCTGTCTAGCACTTTTGAGATTTCACCAGCTGGCCTTGTCCTGGTTCTTGTGTAGCACATTGGGGATCTCTGGGGATAAGAGACCCCAGGCCCACTCAGATGGCTGGGGTGGTTCTGGTTGGAGCTCATTTACTTGACAATGTGCACTAAGCTCCTACTTCAGGCAGGCACTTTTGCAGACACTTAGCCTGACTCAAGGAATGAAGCAGACACAATCTCTGGCCTCAGTTCTAGTCACTCAGTCAGACAGTCACACTGTACAATTCAAACAGACTTAAATAAATGAGGTATGTGGCCCACCAGCAGTGAGTTTGACATGCTTGTACATCATTCGCAGTCCTGTTTACTATCCTTGAGATCTGATGTCATCAAGTTGTTCTCTGCATCAGGAAGCAAACTTATCATGACCAAGGTGACCCACTGCCGGACCAAGTCATAAAGTAAGTGGTCTCTGGGTCCAAAAGGAGGACCCCCGGTGTCAGCAGAGTGGGGAATGTGAGTTGCGGAGTGCCTGGCAGAACCCTGATCTTCCACATCTTCTGATTCCCAAAGGAGACCTGAGCTTATTTCAGGAGGACATGAGTCAAAGAGGACAGTGATGGGGTCCATGGCTTTATAGACCCAGAGGGTAGGCTGGGCTGAGTTGTCCCTCAGAGTTTCCTCCACCCAACCCCAGACCTATCCCGTTCTGCCTGCCCCTCCTCACAGGTGAGCTCAGAACAGGATGGTGGTGAGCAGGCAGCTCAGGAGTCTGTCAGTCCTCAGCCCAGATGCCCAGGGGCCTGGAGGGCTGGGGTGGGCAGCATACAGGTCCTTCAGGAGAGCTGCCAGAGGGAAGAAGAGTCTCACACAGACTCCACGTTAAGCCTGCTGGATCCCACACCTGCTACAAACAGAACAGCCACATGGGGGCTGGAGTTGGCATGGGGTTGTCCCCTGGATGTGGAGGGGACTGCACAGAGGCTGCACAGTCCCAAACAAGAGTGTCATGGGAGAGCAGAGTGAAGCAAAGACTGGAACTTTGACTTGACTGCCCACCTGCCTCTCCCAAGGATCAATGCTTTGATGGTGGGAACCTGGCTGGACCAGTTCCAGGGTTTTGGGCAGCTCCTTACTTTCGTCTTGTTCGAGATAGAATAGGCCTTGGTGCCCATCAACTCCCCTGCCTCACACCTGGTGGGCCATGCCCAAAATCTATGGGTAGTGCTGGGCATCTTGAGCCCACTGAGGAAACTCAGGAAGGTGAGGGGGACTGAGAATCTGGGCAGATAAACCCGGGGAGGGCAGGCTCATGGGCTGGAGTTCCCTTAAAGGCGCTGGCATCTTTCCTGTCTGTGGAAAGTCACGGAAAAGCCAGGTGTGTGAGTAAATCTCTTTCTCCTGCTCCAGGTCCACAACCGGAATTCCAGAGCTCTCCAGAGAGAGAGGAAGGGCCTGCTCAGGAGCCAGAGCCTGGTCCAGCCAGAGGCCCTGCCCTGGCATGCCCTGGAAGCATTCTCTCTCTGTGTTCTAAGAGTTCTAGGCATTGCTTGAAATAACTAAGAGGAATACATCCCAACTGTATATTTATAATAGCAGATAATTATCAATTCCAAAAATACCTAGCTGTATAAATTAAAATTAAATACTAGCTGTATAAATTAAAATTAAATACTCTTAAATAAATAGACTAAAGTTGTTGATTTAAAATGTGTCGATGATATCTACTGATGTACATAGACATGTGATTGTGTATATATACTGATATGGAAGGATGCTCACTATACCATACGTTTGAAAAATAATTTCTGAAACGTTTACTTTTTTCTGATAATTAAACAAGTATAAACTGATAAAATGATGAAATTCAGTTTGGAATGCATAAAATGCTAACACTAGTGAACTCTAGGAAGTGGGAATACTAGAAGTGACAGTTTCTTCTTCTGCTTATTAGAGGTTCTGGTTTTTGCTAGGGGCATCAGGATGATGGGTGCAGGAAAAGTTGTTGGTTTTCAAATTGTTCAGACTTTTTCTTCATGAAGAGTAAGAACTTCTAATGCTCTACATTTTAGCTGTTACCACGTCCAAGTAGTTAATAGTTTATAAAACCTATGGTCCAATTTAGATTGCAAATTAAAGAGAACCACCAATCCTCTGGCCAGTGATGGCAGAAGTGCCCTTACATAGCATCAGAAGCGAACAGGAACCCACAATGCTGTGGTGCCACACCAGCAGGAGGCAGATGCGGAGAGGGCATGTGAATCCCATGTGAACAGGGCCTACATACTCATCGCAAATATGCCAGTGGGCACATCCCTGTAGTCACTGTCTGTCCCAGGGGCCTGAATGAAACGGAACAAGGGCAGCACCTAGATATTCTCCCACACCCACTGATTCCTCAGTCTTGCTATGAGACAGTAACACAATGTACACAAATATAGAGTAAAATTTTTATTATTACACTCTGAGACTTCAGGCCCCTGGACACAAAGAAAGCCTAAAATGAGGGTGAGAGAAACATTGATCAGCCGCCTCCCACAAGCACCCTGACAAGGAATCAAAGCCACACCTTTTGGTGTACAGGATGACACTCTATCCACTGCGCCACACCGGCCAGATCTTATTTATTCCTCTTTCAAATCCAAGCTTAATGTTACTTCTGAGTTCTCACCCTGACATTTCCCACCAGCCACCATCTCCTGTGCTGCCCATCCCCTTACCTGGGAAGGGAATGAGCTGTGAGCACTACACCTTGGTGGCACCCCAGCCCACAACCACCTTAGTGCCCACCCTGCAGGGACACTCCATCCTACCCCTTGGCAGGTCCAGCGTCAGCCACAAAGGCCCAGGGCTGAGGACACGGGGCTCCTGGAGCGGGCATAGGCACAGGTTTAGACAGCTGCCCAACGACACCTGCCAGGTAAGGGAGGTCCCCGGCACAGGCAGTGTGTGTTTCCAGGAAGGACCCAGCAGTGTTAGGGTTGGCTCCAGGCTGCGTCTGCAAAGCTCCTCTGGGCAGCAGTGAGGGGGAAACTGTCTGGGTGACAGGAGAACTGGCACCTCCTCCTGAGGTCCGGGGGTAGGCGGGTGAGGGAAGGAAGTGAATGATTCTGGTGGAGGTGACTGCAGTGGGGCGCTGTGCAGGGTCAAGATCTACCACGCATAGGGGCGGTGATGGGGAATGGACATTGGGACATACTGTGAAATGTCCAGATGTTCTGGTGGCCAACGCTACCTGTTTGCAAAATCTGTTAGGAAAATGGCCCAAATGCCGAAGAAAAGTGACCTAAATCTAAAAGCCAGAGGATTGGGGACACATGAGGACACAGCTTTCTGACCTTTATTTCTGAGAAGAAAGATATTTTTAAAAAATTAGTTCTAACTTTAAGGCCTTAGACTCAAATACATTATTCACACTGTTACATTTCAAATAGGAAAGAGGTAATCAATTGGTTGATTAGGTATGAAATGATTTTCACAAGACTACAAAAAAAGAGTTCATGTGACATCCCGCTTGTCAGCTGACGGCCACCATACTGACGTTCCTTGGTCAGCGCTGGGGCCTGTCACACGTGGGCCTTCCGTGTCCTGCCACCAGCAGCCACTAGAGCAGACCTGCAGGCCCCTCACTGGGGCCAGGCCACGGGGACCGGGTGGGGCCACAGAGAGCCCCTCAAAGTGCAGCACGTGTCAGGTTGGATAGTTTTTATTTATTACTTTATTACTTTCACATTTACAGACTCAGGCAGCCCCTCTGAGAAAGGGAAGGTGGAAGCTGCCTGGAAGAAGAGCTGGGCTCATGGCATGTGAGGCTTCTCACAGGGGAACGGTCCTCGGTGTCAGCAGGCACCTGACATGGTGGCCGCAGGTCGCTCCTCGGTGCCAGTGACTGGGAGATGCGTTCCTGGAGGCTGCCTCCGCCCAGGATTTTATTGCTGGTGAACCTCATCATCCAACGTACAGCCCGGGATGATGGCACTAACAAAGCAGGTCCGGGGAGCCATTGGCTGAGATGAAACTGAACCATGTAAACTGCAGGGACTGCAACGCTGCTCTGCTGGCCTCCAGCCCCAGCGGAGGGCCTGGGGAGAAGGAAAGGGAAGCCCTGCTGCCCCCCCAGGTGGACAGAGACAAGAGGGACAGCCATCGGGACCGGCACGCCCACATCCACAGCAGCCTGAGCTCCAGAACCCACCAGCTCTTCCTTTTCCCAAAGACATTCGCGTCTCAGGAACACTCCACTCCCCTTTCCAAATATGTAGCTCTTGGGCTGAATGAGGTAACCACCTGGCAGATAGAGGATCAGAAACAGGGACTAGCAGTACTCAGGCGTGTATTCTTAAAGGACGGATGCCAAAAAGTGCCCTAGGGTCACCCCCAAATCCCACAGGAAGGGGACAGTCGTGGAGAGAATGGTTTACCTCTGTGATTATAGCAGCGCCAAGGTGAGAGCCAGAGCTGACATTTTATTACACAGACTTGGTCTCGTATGAGCTCCTGCCAGTTCTGCACACCATCAGCTTCTCGGGTCTCCTGAGAGTGCGAGGTGCCCTTCCCACCAACCCCGGGTGACAGCCAGGCCTTCCCCTCCTTGTCAGCTGAGGGAAATGACCCCTAGTGCGTGTAACTTTCGCTCTTGCAAATGTGTAGTCCTTTTACCCTTCCAGGAGACCAAAGGCCTCATGGCATTGGCAGGCGTGGGGGCGAAGGCCCTCAGTACGCCTGATGTTCACACTGAGCCAGAACCCTCGGGTGCAGCTTCACCAGCTGAGGCGCCCATGGCCCCCGGGGGCCTGCAGGAGTCTTGAGGAGTGAGATGGAGGGAGTGTCAGTTCTGTGCTCAGATCTCCACTTGCTTAACCTCTGGTCTAACAAAGGTATCTGAATTCGCTGACCTACACATTAGTTTAACAAAAATTCTGGCTTCTGATACCCAAAGAGCTTAAAGTCCCCTTCAAAACGGGCATACAGACGCCGGATGTCCCGTTTGCTGATGCCCAGGAAGTAGTGCTCCACCTTGGTTTTGTTATACACGGTGATGCCCGGAGGGATGGTGGGGTATGACACCAGGTGGTCTATGCCCGCCTCTTTTAAGATGTACGGGGCGTCGTCCTCCAGGGTCTCGTGGTGACCAATCACACTGTATGATATCTCGCAGGGCGCGCACAGCTCGACGTACGTCACCCAATGAATGATGTGATCCCCAAACTGGAGGTCCAGCCATCGGTGGTTTGGATCACCCAGGTAGCGCACAAAATCTTCAAACTGGATGCCCCGCGTCTCCGTCCGGTTCCGCCTGTACTTCCTGATGATGCCTGGGGCAATCTCATGCCTGTACCAGGGTTCAAAGCGGGGATTGTGGACGAACTTGTCCTTAAAAGCAGATATCAGTCTTTCAAAGGGATCTCTTACAATAAAAAACTTGAAGTAGGTTTTCAAGCTAAGGGAAAAATGTAGATAAACAAGAGGTGAAGCCGGTGCTAGTGGTGGTGACGGCTGTGAGTGGGGAAGATTGGAGAAACACCTGGAGCAGCTGCAGCCGCCACATTCTGAACCCTCACCCGGGCAAGCCCCTGAGATGAGCACATCACACACAGTCCGCTTAATCCACTCAAATGCCACTGAAGGCAACCTGCTCGTTAGCACCCATGTTATAGGTGAGGAAATGGAAGCTCAGAGACTGTGACTGTCCAGGGGGCTGCTGTGAAAACATCTATTTAACCTACGTTTTGTTTTACTTGAGAATTTCAAAATTTTAAGAACATTTAAAAGTTTTGTTCCTGGGAAGAAAATCCTAAGGACAGGAACTCTGAATGAGCCAGTAACTGAGACTAGGAAAATTACTTTATATCTTAAAAGACGCAATTCAAAATTGTCAGGGGCAGGAAAGGTAAGAGCGGTGGTGGTAGGAGATGGAGCGAGGCTGAGGTTCCAGCGGGCGGAGAGCTGGCCCGGGAGACCTGAGGGAGTGGCAGTGGTGGCGCCGGGGCCCAAGGAGACCATGACGACCGAGGCCACTGCTGTCACTGCAGAGGCTTACCCCCTGCCAGAAACGGCTCAGTGCTCTGCAAGCCCTAACCATTTCCCGGCAAAAGCCCAGGATGGTAACAGGGCAGCCTGACCCAGCTCGGCTCTGGCACTGAACAGCTGTGTTCTGAAGGGTTTGGACACGATGGAAAGCCTCTGGAACCAGGGCTGGAAGGAAGAGAAGGTGTTAATGAGCGAGGCAGGGCCAAGTTCAGGTGGGTCCTGACATTCTTATTCCTGTTGAACTTTGCTCTGGTGGGCCATTTCATAGCTTGTAAAGAGAACTTTTCCATTTATAGCTAAGTTTTAAGTGCCAGTGCCCTCCCTGCTGTGATTGGTGTCTGTCTGCCAGGCTGTGCTGGGTCCAGTCCACACCACACTCCCAGGGCAGTGGCAGGGAAGCAGGCATGATGCCGTTGAGGAAAATGAAAACTAAGTGGGGTTTCCCTGCAACCTAAATCCCTTTCTTACGAAGTAACAATCATATTCAGTAAGGAGTCCAGAAAACTAAACACAACCAACGCAGAACAGAAATGACCACTCACTTCTATTGGGAAAATGACCTTCCTTCATTCCTACGGACTGCATGAAGGAGAGGGTGGAGAGCCATCCGAAATTCCTATCAAGATTTCTGAGATTAAATGCACTGAACTCTGGGCATGTGCAAAGCTGCCTCTCTCCAATGCAAACCAACAGCCCTCTGGAGTCCTTGGTGCAGCTTGGGACATATGGCAAGTACAGAACCGAGCCTGGGATGTATCGAAATGCCCCTCCCTGCAGGAACCTGTTCCTACCGCTTCTGAATTTCTGCATCGCTGAAGGCAGAGAGACGAGGGAGGCCGTTCTTTTCATGGTCATGAACCACATTCTCAGGGATGTCTTCGATGGAAGGAAAGGCACCTGGGAAGTAAACAAAAGAGAAGTGCTGTGGCCCCCTCAGTGCTACCTTTAAAGAAGATGCCCGTCTCTTAACTTAGGCCCATGTTCCCCGCAAGTTAGATCCAATATCCACGAGATATTGAAATCCAACTAAGACAAGTGATACGTGGCAAAATGAGAGTGCAGACAAGCTTCTGGTCACCTGTACGCCAAAAGGAGGAAACAGAGGAGTTAGGAGGAGGAGGGCAAGGGAGCAAGTAAGGGGTGGAAGGAAGGATGATACCCACCCTGGTTCCGCACTGGAATCGGGCTAAACCCACCAACAGACACATCGCTGCATGCAAACGGGATACCCACGACCTCCCACACTCACTCTGTGAAACTGGGCACAAGAGAACCACCTGCTCACCCACAGCACTCACAGGCCCGGCACTCCCGACAGGCAAGGACCCACATCCCTGGGCCTAAGGTGGGCTCCTAGGTAACCTCAGGGCACCCCAGAGATGTGGCAAGTGGCACAGATATTTGGTGCCGAACAACCTAGCTAATGTTGTGGGATAGACAGAAGCAAGGGTTAAGGATGAGACGGAGTGACTAAGACAAGAGCCACAGTGCTCAGAGGCAGGCTGATGAATGTAACCTGGGGAGGGGCATCCTTGGGTTGGTGGGTTGGGCAGGTTTTTCATTCTTTTCCAAACTTAGACAAATGGAAATAAAGTGTCATTTCCTGAGCTTTTAGCCAAGACTCTGCAAACCTTTACATCCATCTTTGTGTTACTCCTGTCTTGTTACACCTGGAGTCTGGTGGGGCAAAATCTCTCTTGGGCCATCTAAGCAGTGGCCACAATTTGTCTATTTTTTTTTTATTCTTCCCCCAAATGTTTAAGTGCCAGTCTAGACCTCTACACTAACTGCAGTGGATGGCTCTACATGGGCAAGTCTGTAAAATGAACCAACCTGTGGATTTGCACATGGACCTGCTCAGATATCTGTCCCCATCCAGGCGCAGGTAGGGCCGGCAGAAGGCAGCCACAGGACCACCTGTTTCCTATTATAGGCATACCTTGTTACATTGTGTTTTGCTTTATCATGCTTCACAGATGCTGTGTTCTTTAACAAACTGAATTTTTACAATTGAAGGCAAGAACCTCCACCAGCAAGAGGGTTACGGCTGGCTCCGCTGCCAGCCTCCTTGCTGCAGTGCCTGGGAGGGCTGCAGTGCCTGGGAGGGCCGCAGTGCCTCTCCGGTGCGCCTATACACGGCCTGGCCACCTGCTCCTGCTTTTGTCCTGCCCTCCACTGATGCTTCATACAGTGGTGGCAGATTTGTAAGAATTGTATATTCATTGTTTCAAATTTGATTGTAATCTCATTCTATGACATCAAAAACCCAATATGTATTCAGATTACCCAAGCTCATTATATACCAGAAAATGAGGCGAGTGTCTCTCTCCTTCCCCAGCCAACCCGGGAAAAGGTCAGTGGCAACAAACTCTGACCCCTTACTGAGGGCAGAGGCCAAAGACCGGGCCACCACCCTCAGGGCTGCCATGTCACATTCTTCATCCAGGTCACACTGCTGTGCTTCTTTCACAGCTGAATTTAAGACATAAGTATCTTGTCAGCTCAGAGTACATAGAGTTTAAACTAATAAACATGGTGTCTGGAAGAGCAGTGAATAATAAAAAACTACTGTATGAGGTCCCTTGTCAGTGATCTCATTTGTTTCCAAGAAAACATCAGATTTCCTGAGGCAAGTCAGTTAAATCCTCTGAATATGATGCTTGGTGTAAAATGAGGACCATTTCTTTCTGCCCACGTGGCACTGAATCCTTTTGTGTGTGTGTAGAGGCTCCCTCCCAGGCCTGGGGAAGGGGCCTTTCTCACTACAGGAAGGGGGGCTGTGGGGCGGCTTCCTGGCACTCAGCGGGTGTGGGGCCTTGGATGACAAGGACAGAGCCAGTATCTGTGAATCTGAAGAGAAGAAACAGGACCCACCAGGTGATCAGGCTGCTTGAGATGGGGACTCTGCTGTGGAAAGTGAGGAGACCGTGGCCTTGGCCTTGGGGGTGCCCCTTTGAAAACATTCAGCATCTAAATGAACCCCATTAAATACAACACAGAACTATCTGACAGGTTACCAGCTCCTCTTAGGAGATGTCCCTCCCTGTGGCTCCTCCCTTGCCCCCTTGTCTGCCTCCCACCACCCCCAGGTCACAGGGCAAACCCCAAAGTCACCAAGGAAGGGCACACTACGGGCTCGGAACGTACCATTTAACACGATCAGCACTTTCTTCCACTGTGTGTTGCCCACTTTGGGAGTCTGGCAGAAGAGGATCTTGTGCTTGTCACAGACGAATATTCGGTCCAGGACAAACTTGGACACAGCCGTGTGTGAGAGGTTCTTCAGCGCCTCGTCCCTGCAGACGTTTCGGATGAGCTCCAGGCGCTCCATATAGACCAAGGGCTGAACAAGCTGGCCGTCTGAGAGCACCTTCCCCGTTGGCTGCAGGGACAGGGAGGCGAAAGGGCATGAGAGCCTCCTTGGCAGAAGAGGCTGCCGCTGGGGAGCCCTGTGCTCTGGCCTCGAGCTGGGCAGGCAGAGAAGCTGCATAGGCAGGGCCCTGTGGACTGGATTCACCTCCAGAGGCCTGGGACTCAAGTCCATGTTCAAAGAAAAGCGAGCCCTCTTGTTCCTCATCCTCAGCTTGGACAAAATGAGGGGTGGTCGGTGGGGTGTCTGCTAGTCACTTTGCTGATGAAATTATGAGCCATAATTTTCTGAAACTGTAGGACACTTTTCATTCAGGAAATGCCAGTTCCCTATTCCCCTCAACCCTCCCCTCCCCCCATTCTCCATAGAATTTCCCTCCCAGTGATTCTATGTGTGTCTGCATGGCCTGTATTGAAGGACCAGCTGACTACATGGTGACTATTTGGAAGATATTGTGGTTTATTAATTTAAAAAACACCTATGTCATTTAGTATGTTTTGAAAATGCAGCAGCCATGGATCCATTTCCCCAGTGGTAAGTGTAGCAGGAGAGTTAGAAGCTAGGAAAATCCTGGGGTAAGTGGAATGGGGAAACTGGGACAAGAAAATGAAACAAGGCCAGACAGTTTGGGCAGCTTGCAGCAGCTTGTGAATCGAAAGACCTTATCTTCCCCAACGAAGGACACTTGAGAACAAATGGTTTATACCCTCCTCCCTAACCAGAGAATAGATCTTAAATCACGCTGGCCTGGGAAAACAAAGACCCAATCAATGACACCTATGCCAGCTAGACCCAAGGACAGATGAAGCTAGGGAACAAATAACAAAAACCCCATTAATGCTCAACAAACATAAGATATAAGATGTAACCAGAGAAGAGGGGACAGAGACCACTCAAGTTGGGCTCACCGCCTGTCTCCAAAACCCCTAATTCTCTGACCTCCCTGTGAGCTCAAGCAGCCCGCCCAGGCTCACCTCTGTCCTTGAACATTCGTAAAGAGCCAAAGCAGAGCCCTGGCTAGGCTTCCCCCATTGTTTCTTTACCCGATTCCTTCCTTCGTTTCACTGTCCCCAGCTTTAATAAACATACATTCAAACCCATTTGGACTCATGTTGCAAAATCTTCCCTACACAAAGTCAAGAACCCACACCTAGAGGCCGGCCTGAGGCAGACCTGCTCGAGGCAGCCCCTGTCCAGCAGCAATAAGCACACAGCGGTGTTTCCTGAGATGCAGGTTAGGGAGGGAGGGTTTTGCCTGGTGGTCGCACAGACGTTGAGCCACTGTGAGCACATGCAGGATGGAGCACGCCAGCGCTTGCCTATTCTCTGAGGAGTTATCAACCAGATGAGAAAATCCAGGACTGTGAAATGAAGGCTTTGATGCCAGAAGCCTATGCCCAGCAGGAAAGTGGGCCCAAGACCACGCAGAGGCAGGTGTGCTGACAGACCCCATGAGCCCGAGGCAGCAGGAGCACAGCCTCCTGATGGGTTTCTGAGCTTGGGGTCCAGCCATATTGGGGAAGGGCTGCAATTCTTTTCTCTGTGATGTCACCTTTTGAGTGTTGGTTCTGACCATTTCTGTTATCTGGAATAGGTCTTGAATAGCTTTCCCCTCAAAAACATAGTATATAGGAGATATAGCTTCTAGCCCATGTGTACCTGAGACAGGCTCTCTGCTGCCTCCACACGGAGCACAGCTTAAATGAAAACAGGGTCACAGCTCTAGCTGTTCTGGCTCAGTGGACAGAGTGTCAGCCTGCGAATGAAGGGTCCCAGGTTCAATTCCAGTCAGGGGCACATGCCTGGGTTTTGGGCTTGATCCCCATTATGGAGCGTACAGGAGGTAGCCGATCAATGAATCAATGATTCACTCCCATCACTGATGTTTCTATCTATCTCTCCCTCTCTGAAATTAATTAAAACACACACACACACACACACACACACACACACACACACACACACACAAAAAAAAAAAAAAAAAAAAAAAAAAAAAAAAAAAAACCCACAACAGAGTCATGGCTCTACCACCCAATTCCAGAGCTGAGGCTTCACTGCACCCCAACCCCTTTTATTATTATTGATTTTTTGAGAGAGAGAAAGAAACATTGATTTGTTGTTCCACTTATTTATGCAATCATTTGGTTGCTTCTTGTATGTGCCCTGATGGGAGATTGAACCCACAATCTTGGCATATCAAGACAACTGGGCTACCAGGGAAGAAATCAATCTTCCTTTTCTTTTCTCTTCTTTTCTTTCTCTTTCTTTCTTTTTTTCTTTCTCCCTTCCTTCTTTCCTTTTTTCCTTCCTTCCTTCCTTGTTTAATCCTCACCTGAGGATATGTTTCTATTTATTTTGAGAGAGAGAGAGAGACAATGATTGTTGCCTCCCATACAAGCTCCAACCAGGGATGGAACCCACAACCTAGGTACATGCCCTTGGCCTGAAATCAAATCCACAACCTTTTGGTACCCAGGGGATGCTCTAACTACTGATCCACCTGGCCTGGGGTAACCACCCATTTTAATACCTGGTGGCTTATAGCATTTTCTCCTCTTATGATTCTAACACTTTCAACACTTTGCCAGGAATTGTCAGAGTGAGTCTCTTCACTGATTTGCCCAGAATACAGTGAGCCTTTCAGCCTGTATCTTCAGATCAGGAATCTGAGACAGGAAAAGTTAGGAGGTGCTCCAGCATTCACTCACAGCGGCTAAACTCCCAAACCCGCCCTTCTCCTCCACCCACGTTACACAGACCGAGACCTCAGGGAAGAATGGGAAGAGGCGGCCCTGCTCCTCGGCTGACCAGGCCGGAAGGGACAAAGCCCTCTACCTGGCTGTGCCTACCTTCAGTTCCTCAGGAAACTGCTGCTCCCCCTGTAACTTCCCAGGATCCGGCATGGCTGTCAGGAACAGGAACTCCTGTTTGGCGCTGTAAGCTAAGAGACAGAGAGGTGAGAACTCTTCTCATGGAGGAGCATAAAAAGAGACCTAGAATGGACCTACATGGGCACATCCAACCAGTATTTGACAGGTGCAAAAGCAATTCAGTAGAGAGGGCAGTCTTTTCAATAAGTGGTACTTGAGCAATTGAACATCTATCTATATGTACAAAAGCCTAAGTGACCATTCAACCATCCAACCAATAGCTATGACGTGCACTACCACCAGGAGGCAGATGCTCAATAAAAAGGCATGGAAACATGAAACAGACTGATGAATCTCAGAGGGAAGTGGGTAAGGCAGGAAGAAATTAACCAAATATCTTATATGCATACTAGAGGCCCACTGCACGGATTCGTGCACTGGTGGGGTCCCTCAGCCTGGCCTGTGGAGATTGGACCAAAATCGGCTCTGACCTTCCCTGAGGGATCCCAGATTTCAAGAGGGCACAGGCCAGGCCTAGGGATCCCACCAATGCACAAATCAATGCACCGGGCCTGTAGTAGACACATACAACCTTAAAAATAAAAAACATAGTAGACATTTTTTGGAAAATTTGATAAAGTAAACCTCCTCAAAATAAATACTCGGCTCTGCACAGATCACAGGAAGGCAAACTACAGCCTAGGAGAAGAAATTTACAAAGGAGTTATACCTAGAATACATGAGAACTCTCAAAACTCAACAGTAAAGTAAAATAATTCAATTAAAAAGTGGGTAAGACATGAACAGATGTTTCACCAAAGTGGATAAACAGGTAGCAGATAAACACATGAAAGGATGTTCAACATCATGAGCCATCAGGTAAATGCAAATTAAAACCACAGTGAACTGTTACAGGGTGGGGAAAAAGTAGGTTTACAGGTTTTGGCATGAAAAACAATACAATAATTAATAAACAATAATATAAGAATAAATTGTGTTTCATGTACTCACAACTATAAATCTACTTTTGCTCCACTCCGTAGTTAGAGAACAGTCACAAGGATGTAAAGTACAATATAGGGGATTTGGTGTCAGAGGGCTAATAGATTTATCTGGGTGATCAATTTGTAAGTTATATAATTGTTTAATCATGGGGTTGTACACCTGAAACTAATATACTATTGTATGTCAATTTTAAATTTTTTTTAAAAGAAACAACTTAAAGCAACATACAGTGAGATACCACTACACACCTAGCAAAATAGCTAAAATACAAAATAGTGAAAATACAAAATGCTAGTGAGGATGTAGAGAAACTGAATCATGTATACAGTGCTGGTGGGAACGTAAAATTGCATAACATTGGAAAACAACTTGGTCATTTCTTTAAAAGCTAAACTGCAGCTATCATGCAACCCAGCAATTGTTCCCAGGCATCTATCCCAGAGAAATGACAACTATGTTCATGTAAAACCCTGCACACAAATGTTTGGAGCCGCTCCATTTGTAACAGCCCCGAAAATGGCACAATCCAGACATACTCCAAAGGTTCAACAACGGGGACATCCACCTTGGAATACAGCAATAAAAAGCAACAAATTACTGATACAAACAAACTGGATGAATCCCTGGGGGGTTTTTTATACTAAGAAATAAAAGGCAATCCCAAAAGGTCACATACTGGGTATAATATTCTTTTTTTTTCCACTTAATTTTTAAAAAGTGAAAAAAATTTTCAATTACAGTTGACATTCAATACTAGCTTTAGGTGTGTAGCACACTGTTTACACATTTAAATACCTTATGTAGGGATCCTCCTGATAAGTCTAGTACCCACCTGGCAGCATACATCACCTGGCACCATACACAGTAATTACAATACTGACTGTAGTCTCTATGCTGCCCTTTACACTCCCATGACTATTTTGTAACTGCCAGTTTGTACTTCTTAATCCCTTCAGTTATTTTACCTTGCCCCCTAAACCCCCTCCTCATTATAATATTCCTGAAATGACAAAATGATGGAGAAGAAGTTAGAGATAAGCGGGGGCGGAGCGGAGGAGGTGAGCATAGCTATAAAGGGCACAGAAGGGACTTCCGTGGAGAGGAAGGCGTTCGGCACCCTGACTGTATAAACATCAGCGCCCTGCTCATGATTCTGCTCATGTATTAGCATCAGCATAGCTCTGCAAGATGTTACCACTTGGGGAAACTGAGTCCAGGGACATAGAATTCAATCTGTTATTTGTTGCAACTGCATGTGACTCTATAATGATTCCCCAAATAAGAAATTTAATTTTTTAAAAAGCCAGACTAGAAGTCAAGTTAGTGCTTACACATTAATTTAAAAATTCATGGGAACTGCCCTGGCTGGTTTGGTTCTGTGGATACAGCATTGGCCTGGGGACTGAAAAGTCCTGGGTTTGATTCTGGTAAGTGCCCATGTCGGGGTTGCAGGCTTGATCCCCAGTATGGGGCGTGCCAGAGGCAGCCAATCAGTAATTCTCTCTCATCATTGATGTTTCTATCTCTACTTTTCCCTTCCTCTCTGAAATCAATAAAAATATATTTTTAAAAAACCTCATGGAAACTGAGATGAGGCTAGAGAAATCTTACAAAATGCTAGTCCAAAATAATAATTTATAGCCAACTGATTTTTAGAAGACTTTTGGAACAAAATTTGAATATAACTTTCAGACCTTTATAATCAAACATTTATTTCCAAAACTTTGCAAACACTAATACATAGCTAGAAAAAAATAGAGCAAATAAAATTATAAAAATGAGCAAAACGAAGCATGGACAAAGGCACAGTGCACTTTTTAAAAAAATCAAAACCTCTCCCTTTAGGTCATTAATACCAACACTGCACACTCTCCTGCAGCCCCCACCTGCCCAGTCCTCGCGTCCCCCTCCCCGTCCAGCACTGCCAGGAGAGAGCACAGGAAGAACTCCTTACCACCCCCTGACAATAGTAGCACCATCTCCCACAGCTTCCTTTTCGGACTCCAATAGAAATCTCTCTGCCGTGCACCTTTATGAATCCCACTAAAGTACTTTTTCCCCATTTTCTAGGTTTGGGTTAAAAGGCAACCTAACCAAAGCTGTGCACAGCAGCTCTTCTGGACCAGCAACAGGGACAAGAGTGTTGTTTATGGTACAAAATTAGACAAAGGTGGCAGTGCCATTAGCCCAAAGCTGCCGGATACCCTCCGGCTCTGAGACCAACGTCTGTCTATCCTCCTCCTGGGCAATCTTACCACCTTTGGAGCACTAAGGTGCTGATAAAAAGGTCACATTCCCTCCTGTCCTGTCCCCACAGCATCTTCTATTAGCACTACAATGCTTAGCTAGTTCAACACTTGGTTCAACAGATTTTTGCAGAAATCTAAGCTTCTTAATAAATTTATTTTTTTAAATATATTTTATTGATTTTTCACAGAGAGGAAGAGAGAGGGATAGAGAGTTAGAAACATTGATGAGAGAGTCATCGACCAGCTGCCTCTTGCACACCCCCTACTGGGGATGTGCCCGCAACCAAGTACATGCCCTTGACAGGAATCGAACCCGGGACCTTTCAGTCCGCAAGCCGATGCTCTATCCACTGAGCCAAACCGGTACCGGCAAAGCTTCTTAATAACATTTAAATAGGACAATGTATTGTGAATTTTAAACAATTGACCTATCAGTCAGTTTTTGAAGAGCAGCCCATTTCATGTACTCAGAAGCAAAATAAATGGGCTTTGTCAGCTATGGGACATCTCACATACTGGCCAGTCATCTGCCAATTTTTAAGATTTTTATGATTTTAAACTTCCTGGTGTTTTCTCCCTACCTCCCCTTGGGCCTGCTTCGAAGAGACAGAAATAAACTGACAGTATAATTTATGTTTGGTTTGTCCATTGCTTTGTCAATGGCCATTTATTTTCTGCAGATACCATTATGCCCACTATGATCAAACCGTGGTTCCTGACCCTCAGGAACATGACTCCAGCTGCAAGACCAAGGATTCTGATCCTCCAGTTACGGCCAGGTGCCTTCCTAACGTATCAGCTCACTTTTGTTATAGGCCTCATTCTATTCACTATGCATTTAAATTTACCAAGCGATGCACTGCTTTGTTTTTCTAGAAGGGATCATATCCACTCATCTTCCTACCACGCTGTGTCCAGTCACCATGTCTCCCCCTTCACACGCCAGGCAGGAGGCAGGCAAAGACCCTGAATCATTGGCTCTGCCCTTAGCAGCTTACAACCAAGTTGAGGGACTAAGTGAAGCAAAAGTTTGGGAGAGGAAATCAGACAGAAGTGAGCCTAAAACCAGAGTCTACACTTATGCACCAGATGCACAATTCTCAACATCCCTGTCATGAAATTCCCATTGCTGGATTGGATCTATTTTCCTATAATAAAGCTAGTCACTACACCCAATCCTAGTTCAACATGACACTGGAATTTGCCAACCAAAGATAAATCATTGCCACAAATATCACTGTAGCTTCATTGCTGAGCTGAAAAGAGACCACAACACTATTAAAAAAAAAAAAAAAAAAAAAAAAAAAAAACAAGGTAAGCATTGCTATAAACAGCAGCTCAGGACATATCTGCTCTTCCTATCAGCTTAAGTAGTAAGGGAATCACTAGGAACAGGCAGGTAAGAAGAAAGCACACACATCCACTGAGGGAGTCTAGAATAGAGCCTTCCCACAGACTCTGAGTTACAACCGGCCCTTCGGTGCTAGGACTAAGGATTCGCTACCTACATTTCAAGAAATGAACCTTCATCACGTATGATCCTGCTGTGTTGCCAGTTATTTCCTTGTGATAAATATTCCTTGTGATAAAAACAAGGCTTTTGGTTCAAAAGTGAAAATACTGTGAACACCAGTGAAACAAAGCCTAACACGTGAGAAAAGTCTTTGCAGACACAAGTTTACAAAACTCTTTGTTTCCTGTTCAGCTCTAAGATCCCCTCTGAGACAGAGGGGAGCCCTAAGGCTAAGTGACAATTCCCACTAAAAGGATAGGAGATGCCTGAACCACCCACCCATTGTCTTCTCTGATGGCCTTCATGGGGCTGTTTAACTTCAAGGAGCTCAATCATCTACACTGGTAGACCCTGTGTGTGAGCTCACTGCCTTTATTCATAACTTGCTGACAGATATCAATCTCTGGGGTTCTAGCCAGGCACTTAGGAACAAGTCCTCCCCAGTCAAAGATGGCTGTGCTATGTTGTGGGCCCAACAACAAAGAGTTCTCACTGAGTTCAGTGCACACCATGGGGCTGACACCGCCCTCACTGGTGCCCCACCCTCACTGGGACTCTCTCCATGCCTTACTGAGTGGGAAAGAGAAAGTGGGGCCCAGTGTGCGCTGGCACCAAAGTTCCCACCTGGAGTGGTTCACTGGCCACAGCATCACACGGCCACACGGAATCGAAGGGCACAAGGAATCACCTCCCACCTTAAAGGGCTGGAGATACTTGGTGAGCAGCACAGAGGACTACCACCGAGCTTTTCTCAGGTCTTAAATCCCAGAGCATCCAATAGATTCATTCAATAACAAATTTCTAAAATAATGAAATTCTAAAGCTTTTCATCCTTCTCTGTAGGTTTTTTCTTCTTTCCCTGTAATTTTTTACTCCCCTTTACAAAACCTCTAAGTTTTACCACTTTTGTGAAAACATTCAGCATAAAATCTGCCATGTCAAAGCAGAATGACACCTCATTTATCAGCTACCACTGAGGAATGAGGTGTTCTCTAGAGGAGCCAGAGAATAATATAACTCAAAACATACATCTAATTTAATTATTTTTTATGTAAGTCTCATAAATATAGTACCGATTCTACTTTTTTAAACAAAATAAACCATAAACACTTTAACCTCATGACCTGCCCTGTAGGTGCCTTCTTTACCAGGAGGAGACTTCTAAAGAACTCACAAGTAAAATGTGTGGTTTCAAAGTATCAGCAGCTCTGATTATCATTCAGCCTCCCAGCTCTGTTCACACTTGAGGTTCTCCCCCGGACCTCACTCCTATGTAGATTCAAGTTCACTTAGCCTCCGATTGGCCTCAAGCAGCAAAGGTTTTCAAACCCCCAGCGATTCTGAAACTCCAGGGGGAGGAGAACCCCTGCTCTACCTCTCAGCAAGGGGCCTCCATTCTTGGTAACCACGCTGGAGCCATGTCCAAACTGCCAAGCTGAGCTCACTGCCTCAAAGTCCACGACTGAGCCCGGGTGTCTGACAGAGGCCCCAGTGCCCAGGGCGAGCCAGTTACCTGTGTGATCCTGGCCACCTGGGTACCTGCATGGATGACACTATCTTTCCGAGTCTGCGAAGCCTCAGTTCTCATGAGGGCCATGGATGATGAGGGGTGACTTGTGATGATAGCCTGTTGGGGCCTCAAGTACTGAGGGCCCGGTAACTGATAACTGCTGTTAGTGGAAACCCTGGAGCTAAGCACTCCCTCCTTGGTGCTGATCTCAGGTCTAGCCTCTTCTGCCTGCAGATCTGCCTTCCCACCTTGTTATTACTGAACAGACAGGGAGACGCAGAGAGACGGAGCAGGACATGGGGGATGGAGGGGGGGAGGGGCACCAGGCAGCCCTCAGTGCTGCAGGGACACACCCAGGAACTCCAGGCATAGCAGGGCCTGCAGGAGAAAACCGGGAAAGTGCTCACATGATATTTTTCTAAACTCCTTTGCTAAGGGCCACCATCTGCAGGATGTACAAAGAGTCGTGCAAAATAAGGATGATGATCACACCCTCGGCCACAAACATCTCCCATTAGGCAGACCTCATCAGGCCAACCTAAAACCGCTTCTGAGCCTCTGACATCTCCCCTGTGTTTCACTCACTCTGCCTCTGAAAGGAGTCACTTTGGGGTTTAAGATGACCATCACTGCACCTCCTTTGCATGCCCAGCACTTCCCCGGTCACTCAGAGAGCCTCGCCGCACTTAGGTGAGTCTTAGAGGCTAAGACCCAGGTAAGCAAAGGACAAGAGCAAGACCTAGAAGCAGCTCTGCTGAAGCTGGGCTTGGTGCTCTCTGTGTCCTCATCTGACCATCCACATCATGTCAAGGGAATGAAAAACCCTCAAGCACAACCTGACATGCACATATTTAAATCACCTTCTTTCTGATGCACAGAGGTGACCTTCAAGCATGTGGCCACAGTGCACAGCACCACCTGGCACTCAGGCATGCTGATCAACCACAGTCTGCCTCACGATGATGCCACGCAGAACACATTCCCAGATTCTGAGCCTGTGGAATGCCATGGAGGAGGCGCCGAGGAGCCCACCAAGAAAGCATGTTCTGTCCACCCAAAAGGCAGAGCTGGTGAGAACATCCCCTGCCTTTTCACCCTGCACCTCTATATGGTTAAGAATGTGAATGCCGCCGGGACCGGTTTGGCTCAATGGATAGAGCGTCGGCTTGGGGACTGAAGGGTCCTGGGTTCGATTCCGGTCAAGGGCATGTACCTTGGTTGCGGGCAGATCCCCAGTAGGGGGTGTGCAAGAGGCAGCTGATCGATGACTCTCTCTCATCGATGTTTCTAGCTCTCTATCTCTCTCCCTTCCTCTCTGTACAAAATCAATAAAATATATTAAAAAAAAAAAAAAAAAGAGTGTGAATGCCATAACCTCCCTGGTATCTTCTAGAACTAAAGTCCTTGGATTTTGTGACAGAGGTCATTTGTGCATGTCCTCAGAAACACTATCACAGCAATGTCTGGATTAGCCAAAATTCACTCCACAAGGCAGCATACCTACCGTCCGGGTCTCTAAAGGTCAAGGTGATGAATTTGCTGGCCACCATGAACATGAAAATCACCCAGAAGCATGCAGCCAACAGAAGCCACTGGTGGTGCATGTTGTCAAACGTCAGCCATTCAGTGATTCTTCCTGGAAAACAAGCGGAGTGCTCCTGCTGCTTACAAATACATCAACTAAACAAGTGATCAGAAAAACAATAGGGGATTCTAGTTAATAGCATCAGTACAAATAGTTTTTAAAAACCTCTTCTTGATACTATGGGTATTTTGACTTAGCTTTAACTTAACATTTTATTTTTAATTAATAACTTTCAATTTGATAATTAAGTCAAAGGTAAAACATCTGGGGGAAAGGAGCCACTTCTCTCTGCTTTGGAAGTTGTGGTAAAATTTTACTTTTGCCTCTTGATTGCTTTCTGGATCAGACTAACATCAACATGTTTCTAATCTCCTTTGCTGAGGATCGCCATCTGCAGGAGGCTGTGCGTACTGTCGTGCAGAATAAGGATGCTGAGCACACCAAGGTCACAATCATCTTCCATGAGTGAGGCAGACCTCCTCAGGCCAACCTAAAACTGTCTCACTCTGCCTCTGAAGAGTCGATCTGGGGTTCAAGATGACCACCACTGCACCTCTTTGCAGGTGCCTAGCACTTCATGCATCAAAATGTTTCTCTTACCCAGAGCCCACCAGGGCCTGGAAGCAGGCGGGCAAGAGGAGTCCTGCCAAGGGCTAGACCTCCAAAGAGGGCAGAAGCCATACTGGGCAATCTCAAGCAAGCTGCTTAGAACCCTGACTTGCTGACGAGAGGTAGCCACACCTAGAGAATCTGTACACAGAATCTGTAACCAGGAGAAATGAACATCAAAACTTCTCTGTCTCCATTCACTTGCCTGTAAGGGCCAGTGCAGAAACTGGGGGGTGGGTGTTTTTCATGCTTTTGTTGCTCAGGAGGGATGCAGGTCACACAAGTCCCACTCTGCTGCAGGAGACAGATAAAGAACCAGGAAGTCAAGTCAGTTCTCAGCAAGAGAGACAAAAATGCATGTTTCATTTCACCTTCAACAAAGAGCTTCTTCAAGCCAAACCAGATCCTTTAAAGGGGCCATGCTGGCTGGGCTGGTTTCTGCCAAAAGGCTGAGGTCATCCATCACTTGCCAGTGGGGAGACCTGGTCCTCTCAGCATGTGTTGATGGCAAACAGCATCAGAGAGCTTCTAAACACTAGATGGGACAGAGCTTGGGGTGGACCCAGAGGATCAACTCTCCTCTTGTCTCAAAAATGTTTATGTCATAGACTCTCACTGGGACCAGGTATCTGAAACCCAAATGTCCCCCACCACGTGGTTACCCAGCCTACACCTGAACACGCCCTGCAGCGGGGAATTCACCACCTAATGTGCAGCCTTTCTCAGGTGGCTTGTGCATCACCTTCTGTCTTCCTCAGCTGCCCATACAGTAGGCCCAGTGTGCTTCCTGAGGTTCCAAGCAGCGGACAAAATTAAACAGATTAAGCAAAACACAAGACACCCAGTTAAGTCTGAATTTCAGAGGAACAATGAACAAACTTTTTAGTATCAATGTGTCTCAAATAGTGCATGGGATATACTTACACTAAAATAAGCTATTTGCCATCTCTCTGAATTTCAAATTTAACCAGGTGTCCTGTATTTTATTGGGCAACACTACCCAACAAAGGGAATGCCACTCCCTCTCCACCTGCTTAAAGTCAGCTGGCCTTTCCAAGCCGAGTCCCCTTTCTCCTCTGTCGTCATCTTTTGAGACAGCACTGCACAAGCCAGAGGGACCTGGCTCTGCAACTTGGCAAGTGACTTAGCCTCTCTGGCTTGGTTTCCCACCTGAGATCAGTCCTTCCTTCCAGGGTGGTCTTGGGATTAAGTGTACCTACCTGGTTTGGAGCAGACCCCCTACAAACGTGAACTGGCTGACACCTCAGCATCCTGTGACTTTCTGGTTTAAGCAATATACCCTCCTAAGGGTGGCGGTTAGGAACCATTGTGAGAGGGTGCTCTTCCCCAAGGAGAGAGGCCAGACTCAACCCAATACGAGAGCAATTCTAAGAGGGAAATCCATAGCATTTTAGGCCTACTTCAAGAAACAAGAAAAATCTTTAATAAACAATCTAACTTATACTTAAAAGAACTGAAAAAAAGCAACAAATAAAACCCAAAGTGAGTAGAAGGAAGGAAATAATAAAGTTCAGAGCAAAAATAAACAAAATAGTCTTTAAAAATAATACAAGAGATCAATAAAACTAAGAGCTAGTTCTCTGAAAAAATAAGCAAGACTGACAAACCTTTAACCAGACTCACCAAGAAAAAAAGAGGACCCAAATAAATAAGATCAGAAATGAAAGAGGAAAATTAACTACTGACTCCAAAGAAATACAAAGAGATTGTAAGAAAACTCTACGAACATCTATGTCAACAAATTGTACAATCTGGAAGAAATGGATATATTCCTAGGAAGAATCAGAGACTCTGAATAGATAAATTACAAGTAGTGAAACTGAAGCAGTAATAAAAAATAAATAGATTTTAAAAACTTCCCAATAAATAAAAATCTTAGATTGGATGGCTTTACAGATAAATTTTACCAAATATTCAAAAAAGAACTAATGCCTATCTTTCTCAAACTATTCTAAAAAAGTCAAGAACAGGAAAGACTCCCAAACTCATTTTACAAGCCAGTTTATCCTAATTACAAAACTAGATAAAGATACTATAAAGAAAAAAAATTTTAGGCCAATATCCCTAATAAACATAGATGCTAAAATCCTCAACGAAGTATTAGCAAACCAGATTCAGAAATATATTAAGAAGGTCATACACCATGATCAAGTGGAATTTATTCTGGGGATGAAAGATTGGTACAATATCTACAAATCAATAAATATGATATATCATATAAACAAAAGAAAGGTAAAAATCACATGATCATATCAACAGACACAGGAAAACACTGGATAGAATCCAGCATCCTCTTATGATCAAAACTCTCAGGAGAATGGGAATAGAGGAAACATGCCTCAAAGTAATAAAGGCCATATATATGACAAACCCACAGCAACATCATACTCAATGGGCAAAAACTAAGTGGTTTCCTTAGGATTTAGAAAAAGACAGGGATATTGGCTTCCATCACTCTTATTCAACATAGTACTGGAAGTCCCAGTACCAGAGCAATCAAATAAAAAATAAAAGGCATTCAAATTGGAAAGGAAAAAGTAAAACTGTTATTATTCGTGATAACATGATACTGTATGTAGAGAATCCTAAAGATTCAATCATAAATCTACTAGAGCTGACATATGAATTCAGTAAAGTAGCAGGATACAAAAAAAATACCCAGAAATCAGTTGCATTTGTACACATCAATAATGAACTATCAGAAATGGAAACTAAGAAAATAAACCCATTTGCAACTGCCTAAAAAAAAAAAAATACCTAGGAATACATTTAACTAATTTAAAAAACTTGTTCTCAGGACATTATAAGACACTGAAGAAAAAACTGAAGAAGATACAAATAAGTAGAAGTATATACCATGTTCATGAATAGGAAGAATTGACACCATTAAAATGTCGGCACTACCCAAAGTAGTCTACAGATTCAATGCAATTATTATCAACATACCAATAACATATTTCACAGAACTAGAACAAATACTCCAAAATTTTATATGAACCACAAATGACCCTGAATAGCCACAGCAATCTTGAGAAAGAACAAAGTTGGAGGAATCACACTATCTGATATCAAACTATAGTATAAGGCCTTAGTAATCAAAACAGAATAGTATTGGCATAAAAACAGACATATAAATCTAGAACAAAATAGAGAGCCCAGAAATAAACTAACACCTTTATAGTAAATATTTACAAAGGAGGCAAAAACATACAGTGGGATAGACTATTCAATAAAGTGCTGGAAAAATTGGACAGATATTTGCAAAAGAAAAGAAAAAAAAAACCAGACCACCTCCTTTCACATACACAAGAATAAACTCAAAATGGATTAGAGATTTAAATGTTAGACCCAAAATTATGATAATTCTAGAAGAAAACATAAGCAGTAAAATCTTGGACATTTCTCACAGCAATATTTTTCTGATATATTGCCTCAGGCAAAGGAAACAAAAGAAAAAATAAACAAATGGGACTACATCAAACTAAAACATTTTTACACAGCAAAGGAAACCATCAACAAAATGAAAAGACAAACCAATGAATGGGAGGACACAGACATAATTACATATTAACAAGGGTTTGATATCCAAAATTTATAAGGAAGTTATAAAATTCAACATCAAAATAAATAATTCAATTAAGAAATGAACAAAGGACCTGAATAGAAATTTCTCCAAAGACAACACACAATGGCCAATACACATGAAAGGATGCTTAAAGTCACGAATCATTAGAGAAATGCAAATTAAAACCACAATGAGATATCACTTTACACCTGTCAGAATGGCTATGAATCAACAAACAAGTATCGGTGAGGATGTGGGAAAAAGGGAACTCTAATGCACTGTTGGTAGGAATGCAGATTTGGTGCAACCACTGAGTTATCTCAAAAAAAATTAAAAATAGAGCTGTCTAATGACCCAGAATTCCTCTACTGAGAATATATCCAAAGAAACCCAAAACACTAATTCGAAAGAATAGATGCACCCATATGTTTATTGCAGCATTATTTACAACTAGTGGCCCCTGGGGGGGGATAGGACCAGGAGGGGTCCTTCAGCAGGCCGAGACCCCTCTCTCCTTACTACCCACCTGCTTGCTGCTCCTTAGCACTGCTGTGGGGGTGGGAGAGGCTCCTGCCACTGCAGCTACACTTGCCAGCCATGAGCCTGGCTTCTGGCTGAGCATGCTCCCCCTGTGGGAGTGCACTGACCACCAGTGGGCAGCTCCTGCGTTGGGCTTTTCTCCCCTGGTGGTCAGTGAGCATCATAGTGACCAGTCATTCTGATTGTTCTGCCATAATGGTTGCTTAGGCTTTTATTACATAGATAGCCAAGATTTGGAAGCAGCCCAAGTGCCCATCAGTAGATGAGTAGATTGAAAAACTGAAGTACATTTACACAACTGAACACTATTCAGCCATTAAAATCTTATCTCTTGCAACAGCATGGATGGACCTGTATATTATTATGCTAAGTGAAATAAGCCAGTCAGAGAAAGACAAGTACCATATGATTTCATTGCTATGTGAAATCTAATGAACAAAATAAACTAACAAGCAAAGGGGAAAGAGACTCATAGGTATAGAGAACAGACTGACAGCTGTTAGAGAGATTGGAAGGTGGGAGAGGGAGAGAGAGGGGATGGCCTGGGATTAAGCAAAAAAAAAAAAAAAAGTGAAGGATAAGCAAAACAAACAAACAAACAAAAACCCTCATAGCCTCAGAATGAAAGGAGGATGCGGGGAGTAGAAGAGGGCAAAGTTGGGATAAATGGTGCTGGAAGGACACTTGACTTGGAGTGGCCCACACAGACTACAATATACAGATGAGGTAATGTAGAATCGTATGCCTGAAATCTATATGATTTTATTAACCAATGTCACCCAATAAATTCAATTTAAAAAGACAGTAAAACATTTTTGGGAAAAAATGAGAGCCATTAGGAAAACTTAGGAGAATTGAAAGACACTTTAGCAGACACTTTGCTCAACTTTCTACCTAAGACTTTCCAAACTAAAGTATTTTAATATGACGCTCCCTTTCAACTTCAAAATATTTCTTCAGTCTCCACATGAGAACAGTTATATATCTAATACCTATTAACTGAAACTAGAAAACAAGCTATTAGAGCTTCAGTATTACTTGAAAATAAAATTATATTTTATAAGTCATAGAACTTACATGCACTTAAATAGACATGGAACTTAGAACATGCAGAATGGAAAA